AATGGAGAGAGTGCGCAAACAGCTCTAGAAATGGAACTAGAGTGAAATCAATTCTAATTTATTTTAAAATTTTGATTTAAAATACATAATAATATTAATTTATATATAAATATTACTATTAAATTAATTTAAGGTAGCAGCATTTTCAACAATAATATATATATCTACATGTATGTATGTATGTATGTATGTATATATATACATACATACATACATACATACATACATACATATATATATATCTACATGTATGTATGTATGTATATATATATATATATACATACATACATACATAAATACATAAAGATGTCGTCGTCCCACCGCTCTCTGCTAGGGTTCCGCCCCATAGCGAACCCAAGCGTTTCGATTGTCGCTGCTGCCCCGATCTCCCTAGCGTTTCGATTGTCGTTTCTGCCCCGATCACCTCTCCCTCAAGCGTCCGTGCGCCTCGTCGATTGCGGCGAAGAAGATGCGACTCTGTTGCGTCGTCTTCGCAGCGTTGTCGACGACTCCACTGATGCTCGCTCGCCCGTGCTCATCTCCTCTACGATTGTCGTTCCTTCGAGCCCAGCAAAGCAAGGATTTTCCTCCTTTGCGCTGCTTCGCGCCCTGCGACGAAATCACGTCACGGCTTGTCTACCGACCGACGTGCGCTGCTTCTGCGTCTGCGTCTGCGTCTGCGTCTGTGCCGATCGACGTTTCTTGCTATATAAATGGCATCAGGGCGTTCCTACGCCGCCGCCCTCTCCAGTGATAACCCCATCTCTGCACCTCTTTCGAATATGTTTCCGCAACGATACCACGACAATTTTGCTCTTGGCACTGAAACCGGATTTCTCAAAAAAGCTTCTCGTAAAAATGTCAAACATGCAATCTTTCTCACTGAGACAGAAATCTCCACCCTAGCTGCACCCTGCCGACTGTTCTTAGTTGGTAAGTTTCTTTATGAAAATCCTAAACTTGAGCTAATTCGAAAGAACTTTGAACAAATGAAGCTGAAAGGAGGTTAGAAGATCGGTAAATTGGATGGTCTTCACATTCTTATTCAATTATCAAATGATGAAGACTACACCCATTTGTTCGCAAGAAGACTTCTTCGAATAGAAAACCAGGTGATGAAGGTTTTAAAATGGACAGTGAATTTTAACTCTCCTACTAAACCTCCTACCATTCCTGTTTGGCTGCGCTTTTCAGGTTTGAAGATCCATTTTTTTGATCAAGGGCTTCTCTTTGCTTTAGCGATGGTGTACGGTAAACCCGCAAAACTGACACGCCTACATTGAATCTAACTCGGCCTTCAGAAGCCAGAATTTTGATAGAAAGCGATATTACTTCACCTTTTTCCGGGAGAAATATGGATTGACACACAACGTCAAGGATTTTAGCAGCAAGCATAACTTGAACAGATACCACTTTATTGTACCCACTGCTGTATGTTTGGACATTCTCCTTCTCAATATTATTAGTTGCATTCAAATTTAAAACCTTCAAGTAAAAACGCTTCTGGATCTGCCCCAGGTCCTCCTCCGCCCCTGAGGTCATTCCCACAGGCTATTGAAACACCGGTTGACACGATGCCACCTCCCCCTCCCACTACCAGAGATAATACTATCTTTGTTCTTCCGACTGATATATTGGCAGATGGTTTACTTAGGCCCGATAATCAGGATAGTATCGAAATTCCACATCCCCAGTATGCATCAGGTGTTGAAGAGACATGCTTACCATCTCTTTAGAATCAGAATGTTGTTACTGCTAGTCAGAAGTTGGGGGCTCATTCTCTCCTACATGCCCAACAATCTGTTGACCAACGATCAGATGAGCCAGCTCGGATGAGGAATGACAGGTATACACATCTAGAAAAAAAAGAAGAATGGAGGCACACCTTAGCTTGGGAACTTAATGGATGATACTCTAGTAACTTCCAATAATGGAACGACACTCGACAATTTGTTAGTTGTCTCGTCTCCGCTCCTAGAACCAGAGGCAGAGGTAAGACCAAGCTAGCTCGTGCCTAGCAGCTTATTTCCTGCAAGTTTTTTTTTTTTGTGTTTTATCTATGTTTCATCATTTTACGATGCTAGTGTCTGATGTATCATATGGGTAGGGCACCTTTTTTCGGTCCTCTCATACAACCTCCATGTATCTTTCCAATTTCAATAAAATTAGCCCTTGGGCGTTTATAAAAAATACATATATACATACATTTTTTTTTAAAAAAAGCCCAAGGGCAAATATATTAATACGGAAAAGATACAGAAATGTTGCATGAGAGGGCCTAAAAAGCCTAACTCATACAAAAAAAAACACACACACAAACTCAAATAAAACAAAGATACTTAAAAGAAAAAAAGAAAACCAAAAAGGCACAAAAGGGCACAAAGTGCTAGGGACGTCCCACTTTAGTCCTTCTGTCTCTAGTTCTCGAAAGTGAGCCGGCTAACAAATTAGTAAGATGAGTACCATTGCCCCAGTAACCACAGTATCATCCATCAGATTCTTGAGCTTCTTGAGCTCAAGAAGATTTTAAGAAGATTTTCATTTTTCTTCTTTTTGGATGTGTAGATTTGTCATTCCTCATCCGATGATTGACTCATTTGATCAGTAGATTCCAAAGGTGGACGAACAGTTGTAGGTCGTTACACATCATGACCCCATGAGTCTGAGTAACACTAACATCTTTCTGGATCTAATGAGACAGTCGTGAAACAGTAGAAGTATTTCCACATGTATTATCGGTGATAGTTTCTAAGGCTGACGGGGTCTGAAGAATGTCTCTCTCCCCCACGATAGGAGGTTCCAAAAACGGGGGAGCTACAAGTGGGGACTGAATGGTTGACATATTGTCTGCGAGAAAAGCGACGTCTCTTTCTGATAATCAATAGTGTCGAAAACTTAAAGGTCATCAAGAGGAGATGGAATCACAACCTCTAACGGAGCAGATTGTTTTTTTTAATATGAGATGGGAGTGTAGATAATGACATTGAGAACTGGAGTGTCCGAACATATGACAGTTCGAACAATATGGCGGAAAAGACTCAATCCCTACCTTCTGCCAATATCTTTGGTGTTGTGTGCCCAACCAGATTTCCTCAGAAGCGGGTAAAGTGATGTTTCTTTCAACAACTACTCTGATTTCAGATGAACGGGAAAGATTAAAAGTAGGGATGTCCGTCTTGAGTGGCTTCCCATAAGCTAAGGCAATAGAGTACAATACTTTTTTAGAAAAATAATAAATTTTAGACCAGGGAGGCAAATCTAAACATAAATGATTGGCGGTTCCGTCTGTGGGTCAAAATTCGCAGACCATTTCAGAATCTTCATTACTCTGTTACCAATCTATATTATCTTTCTGGCAAATAAGCGTATGTAATCATCTTCATTACTAATTTGAATAAGAATGTGTCTCCCATCTAATAGTCCAATTTTCCACTCTCCAACAAGGTGCATAAGTTCAAATTCTTTACGAATGAGCTCCATTTTAGGATGACCATATAGAAATTTTCCAACCAAATTCAGACGACAGGAGTAAGCAAGTTGAATATCTTCAACTTCTGTAAAAATTATGGCAGGCTTCCCATCCTTCCTAACAGGTTTCTTGATGTCCTCCGCCCACTCAAACGAAAAAGGGAAAGGTGGCGATTTAGGTGTGTCTGAGATGTGGACACCCACAAGAGCAACTGCATACGATCTGTCAGAAGCCATCCTCAAAGGTAGGTGCGGCCTTCAGAGAAGAAAGCAGCCCTGCTCAATGAGGGGAAAAAGCTTCGAAGGAAAGAAGAGAGGACGCCGTGAGACGAAACGGGCGCAGAGAAGCCGCAGAAATCGCGAGTTGTACTCGCGAGAGGGAGCCACAGAGCGAGGAAAGACGTGAGACGAGCCGCAGAGTGAGGAGAGACGGGCCCCAGAGCGAAGGCGCGAGGAGACGCGTCTCAAAGCCGGACGCGGGGATGACGAACTGAAACAAACGCACGAAGCCGTAACGTCTCAGATCCGGAGAAGAAGACGAAAGGAATCGAGCGCGAAGACGAGCGAAGCCGTAACTGTTGTTAGGGTTAGCCATCGAGCGAAACCCTAGTAAAGCCGAGCGGGAAGGAAGAAGAAGACGCCATTGCAAAAGTGCAATATATATATACATACATACATACACACCCGCGTATTTTCTCTTCTGTTAAAATTCATATTGGGTGTAATGGTCTTCACATTTTCAACTCACACCCAAGTAAATTCGTATTTCACATTCATACAAGGATACATGAAATATGGTTATTCTTTCTAAGCAATTTTGACAATTTGGATTCATTCAACGTCGCATTTGTAGCTAATTAATTTCATTGTACTAGATCAAATCGATTATACACGATCTCTTATTATGTAATTTTGAGATTTTGAATACATGAACAAGCCTATATTGAGAACGAGCAATGTTTGATTGGCTTTGGCAAGTATTATAAGTAATTAATTCTCAAATGTTGTGTGATCGAAGTACATCAAACTTGATTAGTATATTACTGTGTTCGCCGACCTTAACCTTTGATGTGTCTACTCGATTCGACCAATGAAACAATAATGAGTATCAACGCTAATTCTATTTTCCATATATTTTTTATATCATTTGCCGCAAGTTATATAAGACAATGGTCTATTATCAATCTAATTCATTTTTTTTCATAGATATTATGAATTACATGTATATTTATTCTATATATTTAAAATTTGTGAAAGCTAGCTACTATATATTATGGTTGTTTTTATCATTCCTTTTGTTTTGAAAATGTGGTGCATATCAAGTTTCCGGGCTATAAAATACTAAATTAACATTTATTAAAGATAGTATTGAAGATTGATGGCAATGTTTAAAAAGTTGAGTTCTACTTCTCACCTGAATTTGAGCTTTAGGGTCTTGATATCTATTTCTCCTTATCATTAGTTCCAGATTAATTTAAAGTTCCAACATCAAGGAAAACTCATATAATAGCAAATAAGTTGTACAGAATTACCTGATTTAACGACATTTCTCCATGTTAAACTAAGGATTAAAGTAACCAGAACCGCCCACATTAAAAGCAATCAACAAAGCTATACTTGTTATAACAGAAAGCCATACTAGAACCAAACCTGAAACCAAAAGAGCCAAAAATGAGATTTAATAGTTTCAGTAATTTGTCAACCAAGAATGCACAATTGAAGAAACATTTAGAAGGAAACTCGTGAGAAAATTACCATTAGAATCAACCAAGGCAGTCAATGGCTTTAGCGGGGAATTTTCAGCATTGGGGACACCTTCTGTTGAAGTAGTAGATCGAGGAGAATATGACTCTTCAAATGTTTTGGGATTAACCGTTTCAGATGCCACTATGCCCTGAAATTCCTCACTAACAAGCAACTCAGCCAGAACATTCATAAAAGACTCCCTCTCCCTTGCATAATTAGGACTACTTCCACGTTCTCCAGAAAGGTTACTTGCTTGATCATAATCTGAGACCTCATCATCAGATGAATCACTTTCAACCTTTTCTACCCAATCATCTTCTTCATCCTCAACATATGCTTTGTATGTCAGACGAAGTAATATCTCCCCCGCTGACTGCCTTCCAAAAAATCTCCAACCACCTCGCAGAGTTACAATCCTATCAGAGGGAACAGTATCTTGAAGAGATACAAGCTCAACCTGATATGGTAGTAATTTAAAAATATGAGCACACACGTGAACTTTGTAACAATCTCACGCATAACATGAGCATCATTATTCATGAAATAATGAACTGTGATTGAAAATCAAAGACAAGATTAAGTACAACTTCCACGGTGAGTACCATGACTGTCATCTTTGGAAAATACTCGATTAAAAAAGTGTTATTATGTGATAGATTAGTAAGATATGATTTTACTAATTGAGGATATTGTCTCTATTATCTTCCTTATATTTATATATACATATATAAAATGAAATATACAAAGCATGGAATTTAAACAAAACATGCTCCTATTTTTCTTTTAACAAAACAGACTTACAAGATGAAGCTGTTGGCTTGCTGTTAGCAAGAAGCACTCACATAAACATAGTCACCATCCTAAGGCAGATAACGCACCAATTAGAAGACTATGCAACAGACCGATGGCACTCATGAAATTAAAGTTCATTTCACAAGTGGATACACACAGAATCTTGTTCATTTAAAAGTACAAGGAAAAAAAAATAGGTAAAAGTAAAAGGAAAGTAAAGCATCTGTTTTACAAAAATATTTTCCTCCATTTGAAGTAGAGGCACTTAATTTGCTTACTAAGACATGGCTCCCATTAATGCTCTATGGCATTGAATGTTGGAGTTTAAAAGAGAAACATAAAACTAAGTTAAGTGTTGTGTTGCCAAGAATGATTAGGTGAATGAGTGGCTTTACACTTAGAGACAAATGTTAAATGAATATATCCGTGATACAATATATCCGTGATACGATACGGTTGGTGTAGCTCCAGTGGTGAACAAAATTAGAGTCTTCTTAGATGGTTTGGTCACATTAAACGTCGACCATCTTATGATCCAATTAAGAGAGTAGATGTTTTTTATTCGACTTATGTCAAGATAGGAAAAAGTAGACCTAGAAAGAGTTGGGCATATTGGATAAAAAATGACCTTAATTTATTAGAATTAAATGAAAATAAGAAAATCGATAGGACGCAATGGAAAAAAGGGATTCATGTAGCCGAACCCACTGAGCGGGATAAAGGTTTATTGTTGTTGATGTTGTCCTGCTTAGATAAATTGAAATTTTTATATGGCCATTGCCACGTAATATCCTATGCTCGGTGGTGTCATCCTTTTTTCTTGAACTTATAATTTTGCATAAGGTCTAATCATACTTAACCATAATAGAGTCTTCACCATTATCTTCAAATATTTATATCTAGGCTTTACAATGAGGCCCTGTGGCTATAAAGCTCTGTAAACTCTAATATCTGTAGCATTCATAACATAAGAACCCATATAACTCCAAGAAGAATAGTACTCATACATAAGTACCTTAGCTAAAGATTATTAATCTAATTTATAGTTCTAAATAATCATTTTTTATTTTGCAAGGATGGACTTTATAGAAATATTTGTATCATTCAATGAGCTTTTTCTATTACAGAAGGCACATGGATATTCACCACATATTTTGTTAAGAAAATTTTTTGAAATGAGAGATTCAAAAATAAGTTTAATATTACTTATTTATGAAAATTCTATTTGCAGTCATTGGAAAGTGCCAATCCGCATTAGGAAGGAATCCTTTGAATATATTTTCAATCATTGTGTTTATGTTATCAGATGTTTTCATTTTTTTTTCTTATTTTGGAGGAATTCCTATTTTGGTTCCTTACATTATTATATATGTAGAAAGTATAATGCATTTAAGCTGACGAGAAATAAAATTCTTTCTAGAATTCAACACGGTATCAAAGCCAATAAATCTTTCGTTTGAGTTCAAGCGCTCCGTCTCTTTCGTCCTCTAAAATCATAAAGGTGTTCTCTGTGTCTCGCCTGCTTTTCCTTATGCATCAGCAATTTGAGTGCAATCTAATGGTGTCTCCAGCAACATCTTCAAGAACAGCTTCGAATACCCTGCTCTTCTCTTCCATTATGTCCTTCTCGTATATGTTCTACTCATCTCTTCCTTCACTCCAGTGATTGCTCCATCTAAGAAGATCCATCATCGACGGCAATGGATCTAAGAAATTTTCGACGATGTCGCTCAACAGTGTCGTTTGACGCTCATGTATGCATGAGTCATCTCCTCTCTTATGCGTAAGGCCGCCGCTTCAACTCCGTCTCTTCCACTTGAGATTGTTGCTCCGTCTCCTCACAGAAGAGATTGTAGGGCTCGGTATCCTACTCTTCCACTCAAAAAGAACGCTCCATTTTGTTGATTCGTCTCTTCCTCTTGAACATAACGCTCTTTTTTGTTGATTTATAATCAACCATATTACAGGACTATTCCCTCTTTGATACGTCGTTGTTGCTGAATCAACAAATGACTTGTCATTTGTCATCGATTCGGCTTGCTCTAGCCAATGTCTCACAAGTCGTCGGCTTGACAAAGGCCCAATCACCTCTTGTCGAGTATCAAATGTGTGAAAATCGAGAGTTCATGTTTGCCCATTAAGCCGAGCAGTAGAACCAACGGTCCTTTTTTTGACAGAGGACTGCACGACCGACCGGTCCATCATGTAAGTTGCTGAATCAACAAATGACTTGTCATTTGTCATCGATTCGGCTTGCTCTAGCCAATATCTGCTCTTTTGTCATCGATTCGGCTGCTCTAGCCAATGTCTCAAAAGTCGTCGGCTTGACAAAGGCCCAATCACCTCTTGTTCAGTATCAAATGTGTGAAAATCGAGAGTTCCTGTTTGCCCATCAAGTCGAGCAGTTGAACCAAGGGTCATTTTTTTTTACAGCGGGCTAAAGCACGACCGACCGGTCCATCATGTTTGTGCTAGTCCAACAAGGAAGTTACACCGGATGACACTACAATGGGGCGGGAATTACCGCCCTTCTCCCCTCCCTTATTTTGCCCACTATAAATATATATTCCTTCTGTCTAAGGCTCAGTTTTTTTTATTTTAATTTAAGGTTTCCTCCTCTAGGCATTCTTCTCCCTCTTATGATTGTATCCAAGGACAGATATTGCTCCGGCTGTATCTTGCTCTTATGAGGTGACTATCTCGACGTACCCAGCGCATAATCCTCTTCCCCTGCTCACTGTTTCCATCTTGTGCCCCTCTTCCTTGCTGTTGCGACCGCTAAGCCCTCTTTACTTGTTGCCACTAATGCCAGCCTTACATACTTCCCAGCTAGCGACGCCAACCTCTCCTAACTCCAATTGTTGTTGTTGTCCGCCTATCCTACACATATACTGCCCACACCACCACCCTTCTTGCGACTTAACCCCTACAGTCAACCCTCCAGCACCCAACTTGCTGCCACCCCGCCTTCCTACAAATCCAATTGCTATCACCATCCCTTCAAGGCTCCCTCCATGTTGCCGCAAACCCTCAGACCATCTCCCCCTCGTTGTCTTGCCAAATTTGCCACATATGACCTCGCCCTAGGAGTTTGTTTGTGCTTGTGTTCTTTATTTCATATTTAAAAATATTTGTATGATTTAATTTGGAGTTTTCATCAATAATATTTTGTATTATTAGCTTCTCGGAATAACTACAGGATTATTTAGTATCAGAGCTCGCCAAACCCTAGTCTTATCCTAAGGTTTCCTAGTACCCGCCTTACTTTTCCACCAAAATTTTTTCTTTCCTATCCTCAACCGCCCCTTCCAAACCTAAACCCTAATCATGCCACCGCGGAGATACATGTTGAAACCTACCCAAAATGAGATACAATGGGAAATTGGCCAACTTCAACAAAGGGTCACTAAGATTGATTATGGAATCCAACGGAAGAATACCCTCGACCGCGATCTAGAGAGTCGAAGGGAAAACTGGGACGAGGATCTGAATCCATTCCATAGGGAAGACATCAGTGGCGAGGAATCAGCCCCGTCGTTTTGAGATTCAATATCAAAGGAGGTCGAGAGAGGAGCCCACATATGGAGGACACAAGGACTTCGACATTAAACTGGATCCACAAGATTTTGCTGGAGGTATGAATCCAAATGATTTTATCGACTAGCTGCAATCAGTTGAGCAAATCTTTGAATATAAGAAAGTGTCAGAGGATAAACGGTTAAAATTAGCCACCCTCAAGTTGAAAAAGAGTACCTCCTTATGGTGAGAGAACATTCAGAGCCAAAGGAAGAGAGAAGTCAGTGATAAAGTTACCAAGTGGGAAAAGCTGAGGAAAGAGATGCAGAAGAAATACTTTCCACCTCATTACCTCTAGGACATGTCTCCGAGGTTCCACCACCTACAGCAGAGAAACCATTCAATGAATGAGTTCACAACACAATTCGACCAGTCGCGGATGAAGTGTGAGCAGGCAGGAATCTTCATTCAGGAAGGAATCTTTGGTCAGACATTCGTTTTATAGCTAATGCGGCCGACGTGGGTACCTCTGAAGAAGTTGACAAGACAGGACAAGGAAGTGACAGGATAGATCCAAGAGGAAAGAAGTCCAAAAAAGGCAGCTCTTCAAGTACAGTGTATGATTAGGAATTTTACTTCTACACCAAAAGAAGGGCCATTGAGTAAGTAGGGAATAATTTACAAATTCAGGCTATCAAGAGTCCGAACCAAGTCCTCCTGACAATCATAATGGTACCAACACCTCAACCCAAAACTCTCTTACACAGATGGTTGATGGCTTTAATCAACCAATTGCATACAAAAAAGAAATAAGAGAATGCACTAGTCATCCAATTAAAGTATATGTAGTTTATGAGAAGTTGTTACCTTCTTATAGGACATTTTTGACAAACTTTGAGTGTGCAGGTTCCCAACTCTAACCAATACGCTTTAAAGGTTCTAGCATAGAAACAAACAGTTGAAGAAATTTGGGCTCTAGAAAAGGAAAACACGTTGAGATGTATAGAATTATCATATGGCAAAAATTATGTAGGTTGCAAATGGATATTCATGATCAAATACAAAAGAGATGAAAGTATAGAGAGATTTAAAATTAGACAGGTTATCAAGGGCTTCATGCAGTCATACGAGATCAACTATCAGAAAAAT